GCGTGGGACACGAGGGCTCTATCCAGCACATTCTTATACTTCACTCTGTGCAAAGTGGATCCTATTCGACCCGGTAGTTATTATCTGTCGGTATTTGTAGACTTCTGGCCTCCTCACTTTCATCATAGAAATTTTCCAGTTTAACAGTATGCACTCTGGCTTTCATTGTAGACAGCAAGTAGTAAGTTGAAAGAACTTAAGCCTGAACTTACTTGAATAAGTTATTCAGCAAGGCGGTAGCACTCTCAAAAAATGTCCAGCAATTCGTCGTGTACACGATTAAGTCCAGGCCATGCAGCTTTAGAACTTCCTGGATGACAAGGAAAAATACGATGACAGTTATGAAGTGAGAGAGAGAGAGAGAGAGAGAGAGGAGAGAGAGAGAGAGAGAGAGAGAGAGAGAGAGAGAGAGAGAGAGAGAGAGAGAGAGAGAGAGAGAGAGAGAGAGAGAGAGAGAGAGAGAGAGAGAGAGAGAGAGAGAGAGAGAGAGAGAGAGAGAGAGAGAGAGAGAGAGAGAGAGAGAGAGAGAGAGAGAGAGAGAGAGAGAGAGAGAGAGAGAGAAGAGAGAGAGAGAAGAGAGAGAAAGAGAGAGAGAGAGAGAGAGAGAGAGAGAGAGAGAGAGAGAGAGAGAGAGAGAGAGAGAGAGAGAGAGAGACAGACAGAGAGACAGACAGACAGACAGAGAGAGAGAGAGAGACAGACACACACACACACACACAGAGGCAGAGAGAGAGAGACAGAGAGAGAGACAGACAGAGACAGAGAGAGAGACGCATGGGCACACCCGTGCACCACGCAGGCACACGCACACGTGCCAACACAGCCGTCCCTCTCTAATCCAGCACTTCATAAACCAGCATAATTTCCAGCAACCAAAATGTCCTCTTCGTGCAGATTGCAGCAGAAAATCAGATTTTGTAATCCAGCACCCTCCCTAGTGCAGCAGAATATCCATAGCACAAATGGCGCCGGGTTATAATAGAGGGCCCAACGTGCATACTTACACGGCCCTTCTGCTCGACGTGATTTTCAATAGCTGCCTCCGCTCTCCTGTAGAGAACAGGGCCTTGTTCAATACTGAAGGAACTGTGAGACAGTGTGTATACATCGCTGAAAAACAGCGCGTACCGCTCAGTCAAGGAATGGAACACAATACAATAGAGCAGCCCCGCGCCACAGTTCATTGCCAGTGGACTTGCAGTGCATTTCACAAATATAGACACATAGTGGATTTGAAAGATTTCAAATTTGGCAAGGTCGCATCACGTCAACCAACTCTCGCGGGAGTCGCGTGTTTCGGCGCATGCGCAATGCATGAAGACGTCAAGCGGTCATAGAACCTGCGACTTGACGACTCGTTGACAGAGCGACACGACGCCCACGCGCAGCGCAACAGACAAAAATAATCGTTCGGTCGGCTGACAGAAAGGGGGGTTCATTCGAACCCTGTGGACCCCCCCCCCCCCCCCCCCCCGCGCAGTTGCCAGTACAAACTCAAGTGGCACAGCACTTCTCCCCAGGTAGCAATGCATCCCCGAATAAGTGGAGGAGCCAACTTGTAGTAAATGCCTCGACCCAGAGACTGGGTGCTGTTCACAAAACAGTACTACTAGTAGCATTCACGTATACGGGTAGTCCGTAGTAGTGAACAATAGGCAGGGTTTTTTTTGTTTGTTTTTTTGTGTGTGTTTTTTTTTGCTCCTAGTTTAGAGGCTGGAAGGAAAGGATACGTAATTCTTCGCCTCCACACATCCTTCGTCACGGGCTGGCAGTTCAGTACTCGCTCCGTCGTCTCCACAATGCCGGCCAATAAGTCCTCTCTCTCCTCCGGCCGTAGAGGCTGGTGCATGGCTGCAGCTTTATGCTGGTTACGTGACCAAAAGAAAAAAAAGAAAGAAAAAACTGGCTGACAAGTACCTCCTGGCTATCACTCAGGAACTAATTCGGACAGTACGCCAGCAACTGCACACCATCAACCATAGACCAACTACAACAGCGAAAACAATGTCGAGTCGAAGCTGCTAGCATGCTCCAACTCCGTGCCAAGGCCAACCACCTCAGCAAGACATACTAGTAGATAATAATTCAAACTGTTCAACACAAACCGTACCAAAAAAATGAATCGTTTAGTCTTGCTACAGTTCTTTGCTTCTACGGACACGCAAGCGAAGAACAAGCCTACTGGGCCACCGTCAAGAGTATTGGAAGGCGGTTGCACGGTCTTCGTAAACCATTGGCTAGGAAAGAGAAGCAAATGCCCTCTCTGATAAAATTTAATAATACCAGGCTTGCCTGAGCTGACTGTGTGTGGTTTCACCCTGTAAACATGACATCAATTCAAGAATGATGACAACGTTATTGACGTCACAACGATGATTGATGATGTCGTCATTCAGTGAAGTGACATCATGATTATTATGCTATATCGATCTTGATCTTTTCAGTTTTGCTCTTTTTTGCCTGGATCAAGATTCATGATTAGGGAGGTTTAGGGCGCGTTTGGTTGGTACGAACTAGAACAGGATTCACCAGAACAGCGCGTTTGGTTGGGACTGCACCTGTTCTGGGTCGGCCAGAACATGTTCTGCTTGCTCCGGCCTCCAGGCCGGAGCAGGCCGAGCAGTTTCACTTTTTCACAGTGAAACCTGGCGGGAACATCGATTTTGGTCCCAAATGATCACGTGCATACGCTTTTGGGTTGGACTCGTTGTACCGTACAAAGTGACCATGGTGACCCATACACATTTTGAAGAATGCACCAAGTTTGGCACATTTATCCACAAAAATTTGCTCTGTTTCTGGAGTACCGTTTGGTCAGTGGCATGAGGCTGCTCCATGTGCACCAGCGGTTCGATCCTGTTCTAGATCGTACCAACCAAACGCACCCCTAGTCCCACGCAGCACGTAATCCGTGGGTACTTTACGTGTGTGTACCACGTGATGTTAAGAAAAATAAAATAATAAGGCACCCATTTTGATCCATGGGATGGCCCACGCCTGGTAAAAAACGAAAAAGAAGTTAAGAGAATTGCAAAGCAGAGCTGGAGTGCAGCCGCCCAATAGCGGACTGAAAACTACTAGTAGTAGGATGAAAAGAGCACAGACGAAGCCAATACAGACAAAACCAGAGGCAAATGGTATCAAATGCGAATGCCCGCCTCAGCAACCGCCAAGGTGGGAGGTGAGTCCAACTGCACCGGCCGAAGATTCCGGGATCCGCGCAAACACATCACGCTGGACCGGAGTAGGGCAAAACTCAATTTGCATCGAACCCAAGACATAACACAGCTGTATGCTTCTCCAGTCTTCGCGGCTTGAAGAGAAGCTATCCGCTTGTAGAGCGACTCCGCGTGTTTGCCCAAACCACCAGTGGTAGAGAATATGGCCGGAACAAACGACGAATGCTCTATGTCGCGGACACGTTGCTCGTAGCAGCGCCGCTTCTCCTTCTCGTGCTTGGTGTAGCAGGAAGCAATGGAGGTGGCGTGGTTTGAGGTCGCATGAGGATTGAAAACCCTCACATCGATGAAGGTGCGCTCAAACCGGCCACCCCAGATGCCACTTGCCGCAACGTCGAGACGGGCCTGCTCAGTCTGGATAGCGGTGCGATACCGGAACTGCTCCCCAGTGACCGGCTGCAGGTGGGGCTCCACGGAAACATTGTGAGCCACTCGCTTCAGCATATGGGCAGTGAGGTCACGCACCTCATTGTGCCGCACCGACGGAAACCCCCCTGTGGGGCAAGACAAAGCGTGAGCGACTGAAAATGTGGCTCCACAGCTGCAAGATGATGGCAGTCGCTGTGGAAGCCAGCCGTAGCGCAAGTGGATTCCGTCGCGGAACTCACCCTTGGTGAGGGTCATGCCATGCCGCTTCAAGGGTCGACAGGTCAGCCAGGAAGAAGCTCCCTTCTCCGACGCTAGCGCAATGACCCGCTGCAACTCAGTATCCACAGATGAGGAAAGAAGCACAGCATCAGCCCGAACCGAGGCGTCAACTGTGTTCTTCGCTTGCTTCTTGGCAGCGCGTACATCGTCAATGGCGGTGCCTAATTCCATATCTTGGACCAAGATGATGTCTCGAGAAGACTGATATTGTGAGGCTCGCGACGATGGGTGGGGCAGCCCGAGACCGCCGAAGCGACACGGAAGAGCAAGGAGGCTGCGCTCCTGGGTATTCACCGGTCGTCCCAGAAGGGCAGGGATCAGCATGTTGGACACAGCATCATCAAGTGGAAGCAGGTGTTCATCCATAGCTGGCATGCCTCGGCAGAGAAAGGTCCACTTACTCTGTAGGCCATGGGTGTACGCGGCATACGCAGCTTGAGGCTGAGAGTGGGCATAGTCACTCAGCCGTTGGACCTGTGCGACCCACTCCTCAACCTTCTGCTGCACGTACTGCGTGGCGAACGCGGATGACCCGATGGCTGCACCAAGGTAGCGGCATCCATCTGCCTGGATGGAAACACCAGTACCAGCGAAAATCCGGATGGCCTCGTCGAGGAGTGGGGGCTTGACCACTAGGACAGACTTAGCTGGATTTGGGAAGTAGCCAGCGTGTACCACGTGATACTCAGTGACCCACGTACAGACGTTTTCTGATTCACGACATACTGTGTATGGAGGCGCTCACCCACGTTCCGCCAAAACGTGGGTGAAAATCAGAATGGAGCGCATTGCTGTGAGGGTGCTCAGCTGAAGAAGTTTCCGAAGCACGAAATCAAAATATTGGATGAGCTTCTTAGGCCCGGGTAGCTTCGTCTTTGACCAGGTTTGGGCCTTTCGCTTCATGCTTTTGTTTGTTCCGTGTGACTAAACACAACATTGCAACGTGGGTGCCCTTCATCCACTTAACGTGGATCACCCACGTAGATCTACGCGTTTCCGTTACGTGGGAACTAAACCTCCCTAGTGTCCGCTATCTCCTACTGCCTGGCGTATCAGCGTCAAATCCTGTTTGGAGCGGAAAAGCGTGGTCCGTTCTTGCTTTTTTTTGGAGCGTCAACTCTCGCTTTTGCCGCTCTGGCGGCAAGTTACTATGGACATTCGGATTCCAGGATTATTTGACCCGCGCTCTGCGAAAACCGACCTTTTAGGTGCTTCGTTTTTCGAGAAAAAGAACAAAACGTCACGGTCTGTTGATTTTTGAAGATCACAACGTGAGAGTCATGGCGGAACGAAGCAGAAGACGGTCGCTAGCTCAAAAAGGCTGTGGGCTTCTCCCAGAGGTTTCATCCGAACTCCTTGTTGTTGTTGTTGTTGTTGTGTTTATTTTAATTCGCAAACCAAACGGGCAGATCTGCCCAATGAAAAGGTGGCGAATGCAGATAGAAAGCAGTAATAAATGAAATTGGGGACTGATGTAATTAGGATAGAGCCTGGTGGAGAAAAACTAAGCCAGCTGATCATCAAACAGGACGTCTGGTACTCTAGGTACTAAGGCCAGTAAGTGTGTGCGGGATCATGCTGGCGCGGAACTGGCGGAGCGTGGAGATGGCACGTATATCGCTGGGTAATGTGTTCCACAGCTGGGCGCCCCGGAACGCGAGGCAACCCTTGCCGAACCTGGTGGAAACTGGCGGTTGGCGCAGACCCATGGTGGAGTGCAACCTAGTTGGGCCAGCTGCCGAAGGAACTAGGAGGGCTTGCAGTTCAGAACTTGCGTGCTCATTCCGAGACCTCCAGACCAGAACGATGAACTTCTGCCTGAATATCTCGGATACTCTGTAGGTGTCCAATTGCAGCAGGAGGGTACGCGCGGAGGTGTGATGCGAGAGTCCGAAAACCGCCCTTGCCGCCCGATTCTGCATGACTTGTAGCCGATCCAATTGGTTGGCAGTAAGAAGCGGGGAAAACGCATTGGATCCGTACATCAGGTCAGACATGATGATCGCTTTAAAGTAGAGAACTCGGCTCTGATGAGTCAAGCAGCGACGCAACCTCCATAGTGCTCCGATCCTCTGGGCCAGTCGAGCGGTGCAGCGATCAACATGGGGCGTCCATGACAGATCCGAGTCGAGGAGCACTCCAAGATACCTGGCCGCAGTAACGACAGGAATCGGCGTTTCATGACAGTTTACATTGATCGTATGCTGGGGCTGCTGAGGCTGCCTGTTGGGGTATACAGGGATCACGTGGCTCTTGGCTGCATTCAAAATGAGACCACGGGTCTGCAACCAGTCAGCAAGTGCAGAAACCGAGGCCGATAGCGTAGCAGATACCGTGTCCAGGGATGTGCTGCTGCTGATCAGCGCAATGTCATCGGCAAATTGAACTGATGAAGACTGGTTAGCTATGGTTGGAACTTCGCGGGTGTAGATACTGAAAAGGATCGGTCCTAGAACAGAACCTTGTGGCACGCCACAGGATGGTGCAGAAATGGCACTCTGATCCCGTCCAATACAGATACGCTGAGTACGGCCCGACAGATAGGCGGAAAACCACTTTAGGGCTGTCCCTGTTATGCCGATATCGAATAGGTCCTGGAGTAGCCGTTCATGACGAACCTTGTCGAATGCCTTTGACATATCTAGAAGGCATATGCCAGTACACAAACGCTTGTCCCGTGCACTAAGAATACGATTTAGCATAAGTACCAGGGCATCCTCCGTTGAGTGGCCTGCGCGGAATGCAAACTGAGTCGTGGGGAGGGTACCAGATATGTCCAGAAACTGGGCTAGCTTCTTTTGTACGACTTTCTCCAAGAGTTTTGATAATATGGGAAGTAGGGACACTGGACGGAAGTTAGTGGGAATAGACGGGTCCCCGGCTTTGAACAGCGGGATAACGTGTGCGAGTTTGAAGGCTGTGGGGACAGTGCCATTGACAAGCGAGGCATTAAACAACGTGGCCACGGACGCAGCTAGGATATCGGCACAGCACTTCAGAAGGTGACCAGGTATCCCGTCGCTTCCTGTTGCTTTGGCAGGATTGATTTGTCGGAGAAGCCGTTCTACTTCGCCAAAAGACACTTGCGGCAATTCTGACATTGCAGTCTGAGGCTGTGGACCTTGCGGTAGCGGGATGCTGTGCGGACGGGCATTGTCTGTTACTACTGTCTGGAAGACTGACGAAACTTCTTCAATGGGGCAAGTAGGCTCCACACGTACTCTCTTCCTGTTCGTAACGGAGTTTATGACGTTCCAGAGCTTACGCGGGTTCTGACTGGACGCGGCACATTGCGCTCGGAAGAAATCATTGCGCTTTCGGCGATAGGCATTTCTGGCGCTTGAGCGTGCTTGCTTGAACTGTACGTGAAGATTCTGGTTTCCCTTATCGCGTAGCCACCGTCGGTGTAGCTGGTTTTTACGTTGGTTGAGCTTGTGGAGCTCTCTGTCGGACCAGGGCGGATGGGATTTGCGGTTGGAGGATACATAGCGGATGGGTGCATGCTTGTCCACGACAGCCAAGAACTTGGTATGCCACGACGCCCACATGGTGTCCACATCCCGCGTGTTAGTAAAATCATCCAGCCCTGCGGAGCTGACATCCCGACGAAATTCACAGAGGTTCACCGACCGAGTATTTCTCTGAGCTCGGACCCGCTCTACTGCCTGAGGTGACACGCTGCGAGAAACCTGAAGGTGCAGGTTAGCCTCAATCCCAAAGTGGTCGCTAATGGTCAAAGGCAGGACGTGGCACTCACTGATGTCTTGACTAGCTGAAAGAATGAGATCGATAGTTGTACCTGATGGGCACGCCGGTGAGATACGAGTCGGAGCATGAACGTGATTAGTGAGGCCGTAGCAGTTGCAAAGTTCGAGAAATTTCCGGGCGATAGGACAAGGTGGGTAGGGGGTTGAAACATTAACGTTAAAATCGCCAATGACTGTGATGCTTGGGTTGTCCACGAAAGCCCTGTGCAGCTGCTCTTCAAAATTCTGCCAGTACAAGATGGGCTCGTCAGGTGGCCGGTAAAAGCACCCAACTAGTTGTCGCCTTCGTCGCCCTTTGACTTCGATCCAGGACGATTCAATGTTAGCGTCGGAAAGCTCTGGGCGCGGTTTTACCTGGAGTCCGGAACGGAAATAAAAGCATACACCGCCACCTCTGCGCACTGGACGATCGTGCCGTATCACACAGTAACCTGGTACAGTCGTCCCTCTCTAATCCGGCACTTTATAATCCAGCACCCTCGATAAACCGGCACAATTTTCAGTAGCCAAATGTCCTCTTCATGCACATTGCAGCAGTAGATCAGATTTGTTAATCCAGCACCCTCCCTAATCCAGCAGATTTTCGTGGCACAAATGGTGCCGGATTATAGAGGGACCACTGTATATCAATATCACTGTCTGACGTTGTGCTGTCAAGCCAGGTTTCTGCGACGCCAAATATGTCGAAGTTGTATTGCTGTAGGATATCGGCGACCTCAGCTACTTTGTTTCGAAGACTACAAACATTCAAAAAGCCCAGTCTTATGAAGGACTGTGTCAGTGGGGTAAGGCGGTGAGCAGGGGCAGAACGGTTATTCTGGGTACAAGAGCCATGAGCACTGGGACCTGGGATGCCAGCGCCAGCCCCAGGGGAGAGATGTTGACTGTGTACACTACTAGTAGTTAACTTGGAGGGGGAAAGGCTGGGTGCTAAGGGATTAAGAGACGCCATTAACATTTAAAAAAGATACAGCTAAAGAAATTGTGTTCTGATGATCTATCATTACTAGGGAAAAAGGGATCAGCATGGGGATTAAGAGCAAGTGCAGTAAGTATTAACCGTAATTACCTTCATTGCACTAGTAGCTTCCTCTGCGGGCAGCTTCAACTCTCTCTGCCAGCTTCTTGCGCTCACGGTTTGAACACTCCTTAGCCCACGCAATTTGCGGGTCGTTCAAGGCAGAGGCAGGTGGCTCAGTGCGCCCTGATAGGACAGTGGCGGAGAAGGTGTGTTTGCCTGCTGCCAGTCTGAAGCCATCGTCATCAGGAGAGGGGGCTGTCCCGCTGCTCTTTTCGTGGATCGTTGTCTCCAGGTTGGCTGAAAGCCGGCACATGGTTACTGGTATTTAGAAAAGCGATCCTGTCAGCTTTTCTATTATTGTGTTCACATGGCGCTACCTAACGACACCGCTATTCAGACACGTTGTCTACGTATCTACGTAAGTTTCTACGTAAGATGCTCGGTACCTGGCCCTGGACCAGGGAGCTACTCCATGGCTCCTACCATCGCGCCGGCTGGCCGCATGCGTGTGTATTGCAGACTTTTTGTTGTTGCCTTTTCGGATGTGCATGCACGAGGAACTTCCTTCTTTGGAACTGCTTCTTGCATGAGCTGTTTCGGATATTTCGTCTCCTGGCCTGGCTTATTTCGTTTCGGCGCTGCTGCGACCTCCTTTCGCGGAATATTACTCAATGACAGGTGAGTTGACCAGTTCCCTTTGATTCATTTGCTTGTGTTTACTCTTTCATTTACGAAAAGTGTGCTGATTTTGGGCGGAATGCAAAAAAATAATTGAAAAGCTGACAGGATCTCTTTTCTAAATTTAGCTTTTCCGCTGCCGAGGCCTCCTTTTACGGAATACTCGATGACAGGTGATCTCTGAGTTGACCAGTTTCCTTCGATTCATTTGCTTATTATGCTCAGTGAGCCCTTTCACTAAATTTTACGGAAATGTGTGCTGATCTTATTCGGATTTAGATTCATTTTTATCTCTTTGCCCTTGTCTACAGTGTGCGAAGAACGCGAGTTCACCTTCTTGACGGTAAGGCTTATGTTAGATGTGTTGTCGAAATACTCATATTCATTGTACATTAGTACGTTACAAGTAATGCGCTGGTCAGTGGCATACTATCGTTGGCAGTTCCCAATCTGGAGGGAAAGGTTCAATGACCCATTGACCGAGTTTGCAAAATAAATTCGCATATCGGGGAGAATCTCCAGAGTCTGGGCGTTTTGATTTGTGAGTACCACCGAGATTGCACTGCACTGCCCCAAATACAGTTTCGTGCCGCCAAAGCAAGAATTACGATCTGCAATCTGTTTGTAGTACCTGCAAGAATGTGGAGTACATGTACCGTACTTTCTCTGTTGCTGTTTCAGTTGCCGTCATGTTGCTAAAGAAAGGTTCAGTAGAGAGGTTCCGCGAAACGAAAATTCGAACGAAGCTTCGCGACAGTCCTTGCGAAACGAAAATTCGAACGAAGCTTCGCGACAGTCCTTGCGAAAGTGTGTATGAATTTTTGCACGAACTTTGCATTCTGCACATTTTCGTAGTTTGCGCGGGCCAAGTGCACGTACGCCATGACCTGATCTCACGAAATTTCCTACGACAGTTCATTTCGCGTTCCCTGCAAGTTTCGCGTCCAAAGTTGCGAAAGTTCGTGCGAAGTTTCGCACTTCATGACGTAGGCGAAATTTTGTACGCATTTTCGTTTTGCAGAACCTCTAGCTCTCTAGTGACTCATTTGTTTCATACGAGATGAGTCAATGAGTCGGTGTGGCTTAGAATCTTTCGCTGTAGAAGAAATCTATTTGTATGTCTATTGGAGAGAAATAATTGTATTCACTGGTTATAAAATAGGTTAAGACAAACTCACAGAATAAATACCATCGGTCCCTTGGTGTTCGTCCTAAAGAGGTTCGACTGGATATCATTCATACTCACCAAAAGATGTGTAAGATTTTATTATTGTGGAGTGCCTTGTTTATCTCTCAGTACCTCCAACCATAGCCTTGCCCCTTTTATCCTCAGGATCAGTGTAGTTGTTGGAACGAGGGGTCGGACTCAGCAATGTATTTGTTTATTGTTCCTCCTTTGCTGTGTTGTTCTAGAAAATCGTGGACTAACAGTTTAAAGTCATTGAACTACTTCCAAAAGTTGTGTCGACATCAACAGGATTACCATTTCAGTGCAATATGATGCAGGATGACCTTAGCACGATAACCCATGATTATAAACCATTATAAACACAGAATCAACAAAAACATCTGCGACACGCACCTGCCTACATTTCTCAAATAAATCTGATCTAGGGTGGGGAAATCTGAAATATCTGAAAGCAAGACAATTTTATGACAGTCATGAAATTCTGCAACAGCAAGCTGCAACATGCACAGAATGACCTCCGTATAAAAAAAGTATCACCACCACCAGACCACTACTCGCATGTCATGTTTCCCCGCAGAAGAACATGCAATTGCATTATGCTAGTGCCATTTTCTGCAAGAAAAGGCTTGCACATCAATGCGTCTAATACGGTATTGATATGATCAAGAGTACATAATCCGTTATGGTTATGTACTCTTGATATGATGTGAAGGCCATCATTTACATATTGATATAGGGCATTCCATTGATTGGTACATGGTGACAGAAAAAACAAAAGAAATTATAGCAATAAAAACTGCTTTATGGCAGTTTTCTAAAAAAAGTTATTGTGTTCTAGTCCATGGACGTCCGGACCCCGTCTAAAAAGTAAGAAATTAACGAAATGTGATAGCCGAAAATTAAAATTTCACACAAAACCTCACAATAATCACACACAGAATAAAAAGCTACATGTACTCGTAGAAGACCTTTTCCCCTCGTGATCCTCTTTCCTATGCATGCATGTTGCCAATTGTTGGTGCAGTACAAGTTTAGTGTTGAAAGCAGCATTTCAAGTGTTGTGATTATTGTGAGGTTTTGTGTGAAATTTTAATTTTCGGCTATCACATTTCGTTATTTTCTTACTTTTTAGACGGGGTCCGGACGTCCATGGACTAGAACACAATAACTTTTTTTAGAAAACTGCCATAAAGCAGTTTTTATTGCTATAATCAGTTGTGCCAGTGCTGGTCCCATTGGCTAAAAGTGCCTGGCGATAGCTGTTGATTGAGGCAGTGTTCAGCCCTGTGTTGCTAGCTGCACCTGTCTCCACACTGACGACAGCTGGCTCCACAGCGGCTTCTGCGGGCTGGGTAGTCACCGTACCCGTATCAGTGGCTGTACTGACGCTGGGAGGGTTTGTACTCGTACCGGTTGTGTTGCGATGCTGTGCTTGTGGAAGCCGGGAAGCTGTAGACTGTGCCCCGCGGTTGGGACATGCTTTAGCCTCGTGGCCACTGTTGTTGCAGCGCCAACATGTTTGCTGTTGGCCGCGGTGCCATACTCGCAGTTTCAACTGACCTACGGTAACCGTAGATGGAACTGGTGATCGGAGGACCAGGCTGAGAACACGGGTGCCAGTACTTATTTCCAATCCCTCAAACAATACTTCACGATGAATAGTCATTTTTTGCCCTGGTCCAATCGCAGTTCTGATTATAGCAATAAAAACTGCTTTATGGCAGTTTTCTAAAAAAAGTCATCGTGTTGTTGTTGTTGTTGTTGTTGTTGTTGTTGTTGTTTCTTTATTTTACTTCACCATATGAACAGGCAAGACTGCCTTCTCACCGGGGCTATTGGCCCACGGCTCTCACAATATGATGAAAATGTTTAAAATGTGTATGAAGAAGAAAGGAACGGAAAAGAAGATGAAATGAAAGGAAAGAAAACAGTAGGTATTAATTTTATGAAGGGGGTATGAAATGGGTATTATCATAGTTGATGGGAGAAGTATGATATCCAATATTCTTGTTCTATAGACTATTTAGTACGGGCATTTCATGCATGGGCAAGGCAGGATTTGGACTAGGATAGAGGACAAGAACATAATTGATGAGCATCTGTTCAGGCAGAATCTGTGAAGAAGACATAGTAGGCACAACATCGGAGAGCTAGTTGAGGAGGGAGATAAGGTCATAGCCAGACAGCAATGCTTGAAACGTATGGCGTACGTCGCAAGCGCGAATATCAGCAGGGAGAGAGTTCCATGTGGTACTGCCAACAAAGGCGATAGAGCTACGGCCTGAGGGACCAGGTAGGAACGGCACTCTGAGCAGCTGGCTGACCTGACCACGCGTGACACAACTTCTGTCCACATCCGTGGCAATGAGGGAGTAGTAGGATTGGAACAGTGAGCTGGCTCTGCCATGAAGGCAGCGGAAGACGAAGAGAAGCAGACGTTGCACGTACAGCTGGTGGAGCTGAGGCATTGATAGTCTGGCAAATAGGGGAGCAGTGGGGGTCCTTCTGGGGAGTTGGAAGATGGCTCGTATGCCAGACTTAGCAATGCGTAGCAGTCGATATAGCAGCAGTTTGGATAGAGCGGGAAAGAAACAGTTCGAGGCATAGCAGAGAACAGACTGGATCATACTCATGTACCAGGCCCGGCGGGCATTGAGTGAAAGGCACCGTCCATGGCGCCAGAGCTGCCCGATTGTAGTAGCAGTCTTGCTGGCGATAAAGTCCACTTTGGGGCTTCCAGGACAGTTGGTCATCAAGCATGACACCGAGATACTTCGTGACTGGAGTAACATCAAGCACTGTGGTACCACACTTCACTTCAGATGGTCCATCCAGACACCCACGGGGTCTCACAAACATAACTTGGGTTTTACTGGCATTTAATAGCAGACCAATGTTGTCCAAGTACTCAGCGAGTCGTGTTACAGCATTAGAGAGAACAGAGCACACTAAATCAGGCTGATAGTCAGAGTAGTCCAGAGCCACATCATCAGCGAATTCCTGGTGGCATACACTACCTGGTAGAACTGACGACATATCACTGGTGTACAGTACAAAAAGAAGAGGGCCCAGAACGCTGACTTGAGGCACTCCTCGGGAGCATCCAACATATTGCGAAACTGAGTGTTCCACCCGTACACACTGCTGCCGCTCCGAGAGATAACTGAGGAACCATTCCAGTGGTGTGTCACAAATGCCAAGGTCAAACAGCACTTGCACAAGCCTGGCATGCTGGACTCTATCAAATGCCTTCGATAGATCTACCATTACTACCCCGGTGTGTTTTCGTTCCGATTTGGCCAATTTCCAGCGGTTGGAGGCAAGGATAAGAGCATCTTCTGTTGAGTGATTTCTTCGGTATGCAAATTGACTTGAAGGTAACAAGGAGTGATCATCTAGGAAAGTTGTCAGCTGTTTCTTGACAAAGTGTTCCAGTATGCGAGAAACAATAGGCAGTAGCGAGACGGGCCGATAGTTACGAGCTGACAGTGGGTCGCCATTCTTATACAATGGGCTGATAAGAGAATGTTTGAAAGTTGATGGCACTATACCAGACGCAAGAGATAAGTTGACGATCTTCATCAGGTATGGGGAGAGGGTGTCCGAGCAACGTTTCAACACAATACCTGGGATTCCATCACTTCCGGTAGCTTTATGTGGATCCACACATTGCAAACGCTTAGCTCTAGTCCATGGACCCCGTCTAAAAAGTAAGAAATTAACGAAATGTGATAGTAGCTCAAAATTAAAATTTCACACAAAACCTCACAATAATCACAACACTTGAAATGCTGCTTTCAACACTAAACTTGTATTGCACCAACAATTGGCAACATGCATGCATAGGAAAGAGGATCACGAGGGGAAAAAGATCTTCTACATGTAGCTTTTCATTCTGTGTGTGATTATTGTGAGGTTTTGTGTGAAATTTTAATTTTCAGCTATCACATTTCGTAGTATACTGGGATACTAAAATAGCTATTTCAGACCAGTATTTCAGGCCAAAAACGAAGCTAGGTATAAATAGAATAAACACCTCTGTCTTGTGTTTATGGGAATATAAACACTGTCTATAAAAACCTTGGCTACGCCTCGGTTTTTATAGCAGTGTTTATATTCCCATAAACACTACGACATCGGTGTTTATTCTATACGTAAATGATGGCCTCCACATCATAATTATCAATACCGTATTATACGCATTGATGTGCAAGCCTTTTCTTGCAGAAAATGGCACTAGCATATTGCATGTTCTTCTGCGGGGAAACATGTGAGTAGTGGTGGTGATACTTTTTTTTATACGGAGGTCATTCTGTGCATGTTGCTGTTGCAGAATTTCATGACTCAAATTGTCTTGCCTTTCAGATATTTCAGATTTCCCCACCCTCGATCAGATTTATTTGAGAAATGTAGCCATGCGCCAGGTGCGTGTCGCAGATGTTTTTGTTGATTTTGTGTTTATAATGGTTTATAATCATGGGTTATCGTGATAATAATAATAATAAGTGAGGATATGCACGGCCGGAGCATGTGTGGCCTGGCCCGCTACATGAGTACCAGCCCAATAGACAGAATAAGCCTGCTTTATCAGTATCATCAACAAAAACCTACAACAAAAAGCCACTCAATAACTGCAAAGGCCGCTAAGTTCCTGTCGAGTTTGGATCCGCCAGCAGCTGGACCAGCTTTACCCAATAAGCATACCATTAAACAAGCGTGCGCTGAGCGAAAATCCAAAACACTTTCCACTATGCCGCTGCATGGGAGATATTGGAGCCGATTGGAGGAGAATCACCTAGATAAGGAGCTTACCTTCATGTGGTTGAAATCAAGGACACTGAAACCTTCAACTGAAGGCATGATTATGGCAGCACAAGACCAATCCCTCAAAACGAAAAATTACCAATACGCCATAATGAAGTCAATTGCTCGAACTGATGCCAATTGCAGGCTTTGCAAGGGCAGCTTAGAAACAATTGACCACATTGTCAGTGCCTGCCCAGTTCTTGCTCGGACCAGTTACATCGAACGTCATAACCGGATAGTAAAGTATGTGCACTTCGAAATGTGTAGAGCACGAGATCTACCTACTGGTGCTTCACGATTCGGCCACCAGCTCAAGGCATTGGTCAAAAGTGATCGGTATCGCCTCTATTGGGAGTATTCGGTCCCAACTGACCTGAAACTATCAGCAAACAGGCCCGATCTGCTCCTTGTTGATGACAAGGAGCGCATCGCCTACATTATAGACATCAGCGTTCCTGGTGAGAACAACATCAATAAGAAAATGGCTGAAAAGCGCTCGAAATATTATGATTTGAAGCGGGAGATTTC